GAGTGGCGTTATTCATTTATGAAACTTAAGGAAGTAGCATAGGAAAATATTATGCAATCAGAACTCCAAAGAAAAAAAATTTATTGTCAACTATGGAGGCAAGCTTATAGGAAAACATGTCCAATGATGTTTTTCAATAAAAAACTTACAAAGTAATGGGTGGAGTTCTTGAATTAGTGGCATCTTCTGCGTTTTTGAATGATTGTGACGCATGGTCTATGGTGATAGTAGAAGGTTTATTTTAGTCATCTTCATGGGTTCTGGTTGTGCAGGCTTGAGAAGTGTGTCTTGTGTGCCCTTTGGGAGGTGTTCTTGTTGTTCTCTGAATTATCCCCCTCAAATTGGGGAAATATTAAGTGTTCACGATGATGACTTACACAAAGCCTATGTGATGTATCTGCTTTTGAATAAGATGGAGTTTGGACTCGAGAAGTATAAGGATTTTGCTTTTTACATGGTGACGACTCTGCTTGATGTGATGAAACAGGAACAAGAACTTGCAAATAATGTTCTTGAAGAAATGATTATGTTAGTGGGGGCAAAGACGAGGATCTTGAGGAAACGCATTGGATTCTTTGTTGGAGCTATGCTTAGTATTGCTGAATTAAAGGGAGTCGCGGAGAAAAAAGTGGAGCTTGCAATTGAGTTTGTGGTGACTGTTGCAGAAGATAGAAAACAAGGTTGTGGTATGATTGAGAAGTTGGATCATGATTTAACTAGGTTGCTTAGTGTCTTGCTAAACAAGCTAGTGATTATTGAGGATGACTCATCATGGTATAAAGCGGATAGTGATAATAATGATGATTACAAGGTTGGGAAATTGAGCAAGTTCTGTTATGGGAATGAGGATTTCAGTAGACTCACAGTCGCCTTGCATGGAAATGCAATTGTTTCCAATTACCAAGAGGAGTTGCCAAATTTCTTGGTTGATAAGGATTGGAGAAAACGGCATGGAGCCACCATTAAGGTTCAATGGTGGCTCAATAGCCCAGAGCCATAACAAATAGTAAAATACAAAAACCAAAATGTCATGCAAAAGTCATTCTAATGAGCTGTTATAATAAGCTTCTCATATCATGCAAAAGTCATTCTATTTCATTATACAACTCTAACATCTACCAAACCACTCACATGAAAGCTACAAAGACTTCCACAATACCACCATTCAAAAGAAAGAAAGATTAAGGAGAGGAGAGGGGTGGAAAAAAAATACCAAAAGATCCAACAAAAGACCCAACAAGTAATAGATCCAAAAAAAATTAAATTTTCTAAAATTTTAAGAGTAATGAAATAGAACAACCTCAATGTAAAAACTACTCCTAAGTCCTTATTAGTCCTAGCAATAGTATGTCCCAAAAAAACCACTGCTCTTCAGGCTATCAATATCAATATAACTTACCCATTAAAAATCAGCATAGGTATTGATTAAAAATCAGCATCCAATTGGGCATATATTGACAAAAATCCAATAGGCTTTATGTGTGAAATAATGAGAGAAAAAGAGAGGGCTAACCAAAACCAAAAGAGAACGCTGGTTTAAATATTTTTTTAAAAAAAAAGGAAAAGAAAGTGACAAAAACCCAATACGCTTTATGTGTGTGAAAAAATGAGAGAAAATGAGAGCGTTAACCAAAACCAATAAAGATCGTTGGTTTAAAAATAAAAAATAAAAAGAAGAAGAAAAGTCTATCACAATTTGTAATAAGGTGCTCATGGCTAAAACAATCAAATCCAAAATTCAAAACTTAATGTGCTCAAGAAATTCAAATCAAAACGTGCAAAATGAAAATGAGTAATGACAATTTCCATCTAAGCATGCAGAAACTAATTCTTTCAATCCAAAATAGATGTATCCACCATGTTCCCATCTCCATCTCCACTTCTCCCTTCATGCTTCTTGTTTTTCTCTAAATCCAAACTCTAAATAATGCATTTCTTAAATTGCAACTTGTTTTAATTTGTATATGTGGGTGCACTATCCCACATCGCTCTATGAGATATTACAGCTCCACTACATAAGTGGACTAACTCCCTTAGACTAGTATGAGACCTTTTAAAGCCGTAAGAGGTTAGCTGCTGGTTTTTACCTAACTCCAAAGCGGACAATATCATGCTAGTCGGGGAGGGTTAACTACTTCATTTGGCGTTGTCTGTGGGAACTCCTTGTTCAAGCAACCAGTCCACTGGGGAGTTATGTGGGTGCACTATCCTACATCGCTCTATGAACAACTCCACTAATTTTTTGCATGTATTTTTTAAACTAGTATAAGACTTTTTTTTATATTTGGTTCATTAGAATGAAATGATCATTCTATCAGAATTTTTATTCTCATGTTTGGTTCACTAATATTGTGTTTAGATTATAGATTTGGATAGAAATTTAGAAAGTAAAAAGAAATAACAAGGAAATGGAGTAAAAAAATTAGCTTATATGTCATCTTCCCTTACTTTTTGCATTTCTTTTTCAAATTTCTACATAAATTCATGATTCAAAACACAACCTAACAAAATTATAAAAAATACATTGTAAATAGAATTTTCATTCATTAATGTAGAAAGATGTTCATTCAATAAGAAAACAAATGAATGACCATTCTATTCCAACTCGCCTTTATTTTAGTGAACTAAAATATTAAAAGTTCAAGAAATTACCAAAAATGGAAAACAAACAAACTGATTATAATTTTATGGTGAATAAAAAATAATTACATTACAAATGAAAATTTATAATTTACAATTGGGTGAAAATATTTTGTAAAATCTTCCCCTCTTTTCCCTCTTCGACAGCTTATCTCCACCGACTAATTACTGAGGCTCTAACAGCCCCTTCTTCACCCTCCTCTTGTCTCTCTAAGCCCTTCCCAACCCATCTCTACCACTTGATAGGGTAGCTAAGGAGGGTGGGAATGAGTGGGATGTGGTAGCCAAACGTGGAGAGGGGTGGGGTGGGGATTGTCAAAGATGGTAGTAGTGGCAACCAGATGGCAGTAGTGGTGGTTGAGAGTAGGTATAGAGAAAAATACATTTTAAGGTTTTGTGACTGTTTGGTTTTGAATTTTCAAAAACAGATTTTTAAACTTTTTATTTGTATTTTAAAAATATTTTAATAATAATATTTTTTTTTTAGATCTACTTAATGTTGGTATACTTAAACAATATATAATTTGTAAAAAAATCATTGAATATAACAAAATATAAAAATGTACTGAATTTTCATATTTTTTTTTTATATTTGGTGAATTATTCATAATTTTTTTTTCATAAATATTATACTTTTTAAGTTTATCTAAATTAAGTATATATTAAAAAAAAAACTGTAAAATATTTTAAATCATCACTAAAAATACAAAAAAATACAAAAAATAAAAAAAAAAACTAATTTTTAGAAAATCAACATAAGCTGGCCCGGACTCTCCTTACGGTGGAACCACATAATAAATAAATAAATAAATAAATAAAATTAATTGAAAAAAATATTAAGGTACATTCATTGGCTTTCTATAATTTTAATTGAGAACAAGTCAAAGTAAAAGGGAAAAAACTATGCTACACATTTTTCAAAGGTGTATACTATATATACCTTATAATTAGAGAAGAAAATGACATAATTTTATATATTTTTTGAGTCATAATTAAAAGAAAATGACATAACATGAGGTATAATTAAAGATCTTATGAGTTATAATTATCATAACTAAAAAAAAAAAAATAATCATAATTAAAGAAGAAAATAGCATAACTAGAGGTGCATATAGTACATACATCTCTTTCAAATGTGTGCATATTAGAATTTCTCCAAAGTAAAAATATTTCCTTTTACTTTTGCTTATGTTAATAGTTTTAAGTTGATTGGAAAAATTAATTAGACCTAACCTAGTTGGCTACTATATACCTTCCTTAAGGTTTAGCTTTCTAGGAAGGTCATGAGTACAATTTCCCTTAAGAAAGTTGAATTACGAGAATAAGCATTTAGGTATTTTATCAAGAGTGAAGAGGTTTCCCCATAGGTAGGAGTGTAAATTTGGCTTGACCCATATCGGGCCATATGGGCTCGTGTTAGAATTCACGTCATCTTAGCCTGGGCCACAGGCCAAAAGCCTAGGAGGTATTCGGGCCTTAAGCAGGCTGGCGAGCAGGACCAAACCACTTTTTTAATTTTTTTCATGAAAATTTTATTTTTTTTTCACCAAAAATAACACCGGGCCTCTGGCGGTCCGAGCCTCAAGGCGGACCTTGAATGGGCCTAAAGCAAGCCGATGGGCTAGGCTCCAAAACACGCAGCCTAAACCTAGGCCCAAGGTCTCGGATTGGGCTCGAACCTGGCCAAGCTTAGCTAGGCCGGGCCCACCCAAGCCTCAAGCAGGTTTCGGACAGCTTATGGGCCATTTTTACACCCCTTACCCATAAATATTAATTTAATAACTAACAAGTAACATTTGCTGATAAAAAAAAATTAAAAAAATTTGGCTAGAAAAGTTTATAAATGTTGAATTTATATGTAATTTGGATTTTGACTACAAAAACAAATTCCTGTATAATTGAACTTTTACTAAATTAAAAGTGGAAAACCTGTTGGCTCCATCCACTACCCACATGGTAAAGAGCCCACCATCCACATAGTGTGGGTGGCACTAGGTGGTAAAAGAAGGTGGTGGAGGGCAACACTAACTCACTAATGGAAGATAGTGGGGGTGGCACCACCTTGGCCAATTATGGCTAGCACTTCACCTACTCCTCCTCTCTTGGTTATAAATTGAGATGAGTGAGGAGGGGTTTGTATCATCAGAAATTGAGTGTGAGAGCTGTGAGTTGAGTGAGTTTCATCTCCTCCTCTGTATTTGTATTTTTGCTCCATTTTAGTGAAAATTCTCTTTTCTGTCCGTGGATGTAGGCATTGGGCCGAACCACGTAAATATTGTGTTCTCTGTGTGTGTGACATATTTTTCTGGGTGTGTTTGATCCTAACAAAACCAGCAAAACTATACATATTCATGTCATTCATGAAATTCTAAAATTATTCGATAGATGTGCTACAATATTTCACGTTTAATGCTGCAACAAACAAACTTATCTCATCAGCCAGCAAGGCCTATTTGAATCATCTTTTTTACTTGACATTTAATTTGTATCCTTTTTATGGACTTTTAGTGTGTCCACAGAGAAATTGAAAGGTAGTAAAACAAATCCAAAAGACAAATAAAACAGTGTGTAAACACTCTGATCCAAACATCCCCTAAATTATTCAATTTCAAGTACATATGAACTAGCTAGCCTTTCAATTTAGATTCCCCACTTTGCCAATCCTCAGATAAACAGGAAACTTAACGACCATTTGGCCATTGCCATCTTCATTCCAAGCCCTTTTAAATTCGTCAATCACATCCTCAGTCAAGAGCTCAACACCCTTATCGTGAGCCGTCTGATATGCTGACCCCGATCTCGTGTACGTAAGATAGTCTTTCAAATCCATCAACCACTCAATTTTGAACTCGAATGGTCCCGTGTGATCAACTCCATCCACTGGCTCAAATGGGAAATTGATGCTCTTATACTTGTCCACCACCAAATTCCGACCCGAATCCCAATAAGGCCTTGAATCGACAAAGTAAACTCGTCGAAAAATTGAGTCAACGCCATCGTTGACTTCGGGCATGGTGTAGGTCCAGGCAGCAATCACTCCATCGGGCTTTTTTAGTACCCATTTGACTTGTTGGTAGAATGTAGGAAGATCGAACCAATGCAGGGCTTGAGCTATGGTCACTAGATCGACGCTTGTGTGTTCTGATACCATATTTTCGAGCTCAGTTAAGGACATATTGGGCGGAGTACACCGATATTGCACGTTGGGGAGGTTAGGTGCAAAATCCAATTGACCTTGGCTGGTGTCTGTGGCTATGACATTTTTGTAAATCGCAGCTACCTGAAATTGACTTGAATTAGAAACATATTCATGTCATAGGAGGACTCCAACATGTGACATATCTACTTGCACTTCACAATATATTTCATAGGTTAAAAGAAAGCTATTGGTGGTGACCATATTTTATTTATTTATTGGTAGAAGTTGAGATTTTATTTGTAATATTTTTCCCAAGGTGTATACATTTTAGGTTTATTTGTTTATATTTCCCTTGCAAGGTTTCATTTCCAAACCTGTGTTCATTTTCCTTGGCGTTAGCAATAAGAACATAAAATAAATAAATAAAAAGAGTTTAGTGTAGCAAATCAAATGGCTGCGTTTGAAATATGCTATTTTAGGGCCAATTTGAGCAAATGTTTTAACTTATTTGGGTGACGTTATCTTTTTATTTTTTTAAAAAAAGTCAAAAAATCAACTTTTAACTAACTTTTCAAAATAACTCTTGATTAGTTATTTAATTTTTTTACGAAAAAATATGTCAAAAAATAGAGAGTGATATGATAACGTGTAAAAAAATAAAAAGAATGATATATGTTTTATTTTATGAAAAAACACATTGTTTGAATTCCCACTCTCTTCTATTTGGTTGGAGTGGGGGGATACACAAATTGCCTAGTAATTTTATTTATTTTTTTTAACAAGAAAAAAACTTACAAGATTAATGAACAATCAAACAAAAAGGAGATGAATGAGCATTATAATCTTTCGTTTCCATATATATATATATATATATTGAGAAGGGTAGATTGTTAGTGTATTTCTACCTCTAATTATCCAACAAAGTCCAAAAATTAGCACACACAGAGAGACAGAGAGAGAGAGTTTATCCGCAAATTCGGAATATTGTGGCAAATTTTCGGTGGCATGGCTCTAGCGAACGAGGAATACACTGGTTGAGGTGGAAACAATTATGCCTATCCAAGGCAGTAGGCGGTCTTGGGTTAAGAGATTCGGGGTTGATGAATCAAGCTTTGCTGCCTAAGGTGGCTTGGTGAATTTTGAAAAATCCGCAATCCCTTATAAGTTGACTATTTTTGACTAAGTACTGTTCGAAAAGTGCCATCCACCATACCCAGGTGGATGGGTATGGTTGGCTGTTATGTCCTGCAGTAGGCTGTCTTATGCCAACTCAAGGACTGTGATGGTCTGAATTGGTGTGTGAGTCCTGGGACCGTTTCAGGAAGAACAAAAATTCTGTTGGCTGCTTAAGGAGCTCTGTTAATAGTGGTGATAATAGAGAGAGGTTCGAGAGTGTTATGCAGGGATTGGGTGCTTGCAGGGTCCTTTTGTATTTTGGTCGTTTCGCGTTGGTCTCTCACCAACTCTGGGGGTGCTAGCAAATGATAGGATGAGCTAGTTGGTGCCAACCTCGTTGGGATGATCTAACCCATTGTGATGCCTTTGCACCTCCCTCTTGTTTTTATTGATGTAATTCGCTTTGTACTATGTACTGGTTTTATTCCATCAATAAAGTCTTCTTCTTGCTGATTCTAAAAAAAAAAGTGCCTTTCTTGAAACTAAACCTAAGTCTGGTTGCTCATGGGCTTCGAGAAGTATTTTCTAGCGAAGGGATCTCCTGAAAAAAGGACTAGGCTGGGTAGTAGGCAATGGTTGGAACATTGATCTGTTTGAAGATCAATGGAATCCTACAATTCATAATGAGATGATAGGGCCGGGGAGGGGTTGTTTTTTCAGCTCTTTCATAGTGGCTCATCTTATTGAGCAAGAATCTAGAACTTGGAAGGAACCTTTGGTGAGGTCCCTTTTTCTGACTCACATGGTTCCTCAGATCTTGAATATTCATATTCCACAAGTTCTTACTATTGATCGTGTAGTGTGGTCTGTGTCTAAGGATGGACATTACTCAATTAAGATAGGTTTTTATTTTGTTCTGACAGAGGGGAAGGTTAGGGATTCTAGGGTTGAAAATGAGTGCCGAAAAAAATTATGGAAACTTAATTTGCCTCCCAAATGGGCCATATTCATCTGGAGATTTTTGCATAGAATTTTACCAGTTAAGACTAATTTGTGAGTCGGTAAAAGTTTTGTAGGGTATTTGGATTCGTAGGAATAAAGATACGTTTCAAAACGAATTAGGTGATCCGGGTCAAATGATTATCTTTGTTAATTCATTGGGATGGACTGTTGGTCATAATCTGAATTTTGATAGTCAGGATCAGGCTCCTAGCACTCACCAAATGAGTAATGTTCCTGAACATATTTCATGGGTTATGATTCAAAGGGATAATTGGTGTCAACCTTTTTATTTTCACAGATTTGTTATTGATGGAGCGTGGAAGGCTGACTCAAGAAAGGCAGGCGCAGCTTGGGTTGGATTGCATCAACAGGGAAATCAATTGGTTTGGAGAAAATATACTTTCTTAACCTCATCAGCTCTTATTTTGGAAGCCAAAGCCTGCTTGGAAGTCATTAAATGGAGAGTGCTAAACAATGTCAAAGCAATTAACCATTCATACTGACCCCTTACAGCTAGTTCAGCTGTTACAAAGCAGGTGCAAGATCGAATGGGATCTTTTGAATATTTTGTATGATATAAATTATTTTCGTAAGATGTTAGATTATGTTTGTATTACTAATGTAGGCTTCATTTGGGAAGTTGCTATTTTAGTAGTTTATTTTAGTTTTTGGCTATTTTAGTAGGCTAAAATTTTTGTATTTGAAAAGATGATTGGATTTTTTTATGGTTGGATGTGATGTTTGTGAGAGAAAAAGTGAAATGATTATGGATTTGATGTGATATTTTGTCTTATTAACTATTTTAGCTTATTTTATCTTTTCGTGAATTTTAACCTAAATTAGGTTATTTTTTTTCTTCCCAAACATCCCCGTAGATAGATAGCAAGTTGAAGTAGCCCATGTTTTGATAAGAAAGGCCTTATATGAGGCCTGATTACTGTATTCCTTATTTATATTACTGTATTCCTTGTTTATATATTATGTATATGTTCTTATTTGTAGGCTAAAATTTTTGTATTTGAAAAGATGATTGGATTTTTTTATGGTTGGATGTGATGTTTGTGAGAGAAAAAGTGAAATGATTATGGATTTGATGTGATATTTTGTCTTATTAACTATTTTAGCTTATTTTATCTTTTCGTGAATTTTAACCTAAATTAGGTTATTTTTTTTCTTCCCAAACATCCCCGTAGATAGATAGCAAGTTGAAGTAGCCCATGTTTTGATAAGAAAGGCCTTAGATGAGGCCTGATTACTGTATTCCTTATTTATATTACTGTATTCCTTATTTATATATTATGTATATGTTCTTATTTTTTCTCAGAGAGAGAGAGAGAGGACTCACAGATCTAGCGGCCTGGCCGCTGCCGGTGCCAACATCCCAAACGAGGTCATGAGAGGGAGTTTTGGAGGCAATGAATTGGAAAAGCTCTTCTGGGTAACTTGGCCTACTTTTCCAGTATAGCTTTCCCTGTTTTTTAAACAAATCTGCCATCTCTCTCCACTATACGTGCATACAAATATGCTTGTATAGATGTGTGTACACTTATATATAGGGAAGGGATTATGCAATTGTAAGGTTAATTAACATAATCTTATTAAAGTTATAACTAAAAAAAATTGAATTATAACCAAATTTTTTATATCATAATCATAATCATAATAATATTATAATTGTGGGATATTATTGGAGAAATTTTTTTTTGTGTTTAGGAAGATAGTTGAGTTTTTTTGTGGTTGAATGTGATGTTTATAAAAGAAAAAGTAAAATAATTATGAGGTTTGATGTGATATTTTGTTTAGATTTATTTTTTTTGGTTTTGTAACCAATTTGTCTTTTAGTGAAAAAAAAAACCCAACAAAAATCCTTCCCAAACACATAAAATTTATCAAAAATTATAAGAGTGTATTATATGCACCATGTTATGTATTTTGTGATAAATGTTACGTTAATTTGTAGTTTAAAATGAAATTAGACATTATCACAAAAAAACGTAACATTACTATAAAATATGTAATTTTATTTTTAAATTACAAATTATCATACTTTTATCAAAAAAATATGTAACAATGTTGGTGCGTAGGGTTGTGAAAATATACTATAATTCTATAAAGAGAGAGAGAGAGAGAGAAAAGAAAGAATATTTAGTGCGTTTGGTTTGTGTTTTTTGGATTAAGTTTTTTAAAAATTGACTTTTTTAGTTTTCGTGTTTTTTTGTTTTTAGTGAATATTTTTAAATTTTAAACATTTTTTTTTTATTTTTTTAGATGCATCTTACTTAGATGTATCTAAAAAGTAAAAAATTTGTGAAAAAATATTTTAAAAAATTAATAAATACATAAAAATACAAAAAAATGTACTAAATTCTTGGTATTTAGTGAATTTTTAAAAGTTTTTTTATAATTTTTTTACTTTTTAGGTGTATTTATGTTAGGTGTGTTTAAAAAGTAAAAAAAATTGCTTAAATTATTAAAAAAATTCAGTAAAAACAAAAAAACACGAAAAATAAGAAAGTAGAATTTTCGACAAAGTATTTTTTGAAAAGTGGAAAGAAGCAAAGTGATTAGTATTATTAATCTTAATGAAACATAAGTACAAAGTTTCTTTATACAGTGTAAAACAAGTCTTAAAATATGAACCAAGGAAGAGTAAATTCTAATTTAGATATAACGCATGAATAGTAATCCCAAATTAGGTATAAGTTATAACACATATATTCACAATTAAAATTGTAAAAGAATATAAATTTTTATTTAAATTTAGTTGGACAGTTGTATGAGACAAGAAGTTATCAGCATTTACATAATAGTATTTAAAAAAAATTGACAATTAAAAATTGACAATTTGCACCAATTCATATAATACTAGGAATATATGGAAATTCTTTTGGCACACACCTCTTAAAGGTGTCTATTATATACATCTTATCACACAATTTTTACATGTTATATATTTTTGTGTAAGGCCTTGTTTTGGAACAAACTATTTTAGTAATTTTTTAATTTTTTGACTAATATATGAGGTAAAATAAACTAGTATATTTAAAAAGACTTTTTAATTTTTTACGAAAAGATGTGTAAAAAAGTAGAGATAAAAGAAAATCTTTGACATTTTGATATAGGCTATAGGCTTTTAGATTTTTTTTTTATAATAATTTTTTGACTTTTAAGCTAAAAGTGTTACATGCCAAATGAGCCCTAAATGTTGGCTATATGTGCATCCTAAAAAGGGTGTGTATGCTATATTCTTCATAATTTTTTTTTAAAAGATATCATAACATAAACCACACATGTCTTGATTTTTTTCAATACAAAAGTAATAATTTTTTTCATCACAAAATGTCATAATAAAAATTACAAAATATCTTAACTTTACTATTTATTACTTTAAAATGTACATCATAAATTTAATATTCATAACTTTATTACGAAACATTCTAATACACACCATAAACATGTATAATTTGCATAACTTTCATTATAAATATTGGCAACTTGTTTATACAATGTACACTGTTGAAAGAATGCACCTTATAAATTTGTACATACTAAGGGTTCATTTGGAGGTTCATTTGGGATGTGGGTTGACTTTTAACTTTTTGATTTTTTAACAATTTTAGCTTCGACTAAAAAGTCTCGTTTGTAATAGGACTTTTGGATTTTTTGACTTTTGTGAGAGAAAAAATGAAATAATTATGATTTGGATGTGATATTTTATCTTATTGATTTTTTAACTTACTTTATTTTTTTGTGACTAAAATAACTAAAAAAATTAAAAAGTTTGACATGCCAAACGAAGGCTAAACTAGTATTTATGCTCATGGATGTACTTGAAAATTTGAAATGTACAATTACGAGCAGGCTGGATGATTATGGAGTATAAGGCCTCTTTGGTTTGTTTTTGAGAAAAAAATTTCATATTTTTTTTTTTTGAAAATATAGAAACTGATTTGACAAAAATAAATATAAAAAATATTTTTAAAATTTTGAAAATTATTTACGGCCTCCCAAAAGATAAAATTATGTAAAAATGATAAGTGTTTTTGATATTTTTTTTTTCTTTCACCAAATTAATTTTTGTTTTAAAAAAAATTATGTAATAAATTTCTAAAAAACAAACCAAATGTTTTGAATTTGACAATTACAAAAAAATGTAGTGTAAAAATGAGTCTTGCTAATGACAAATCTTAAGGATTGTTAATAAGATGTACTAAATGTTAAAATATTTATAATTTTAGTATATTTTTCACTGATCTCAAAATGTTTCACACACTATAATATATTTTTTCTATATTTTTTCAACACTAAAAACTGTTTTTTGTATGTTTTTTAAAACTAAAAAAACTGTGACAAAAATGTTAAATACCAAGAAATAGATGTAAAAGGAGGATTGAAGCAAAAGAATTTTGGTAAGGCACGCATTTAAACAAAGCATCTTAATTATGATGAGAAAGTGTGTGTGTTTTTGGGTGTGTGGGGATTGGAAAGTTATTGGCATTGAAGGGCCGAACATCAATGTTTGGTAAATCATGCATTTAAGAATGGTGGTGTTATATGCACTGTACATACTCGTGTATTAACTAGTGTTATGAAATTATTATGGACCACATTTATTAAACAAGTTATAAATATTTAAAATCATACAAATTATGTCATATCATTTGTTAGTACACTAGTGTGTATATTAATTAGTACATATAGCATTATTCATTTAACAAAGCATCTTAATTATGATGAGAAAGTGTGTGTGCGCACCGTTTGGGAAGAGCTAAACTAGGCTATTTTGGCTATTTTAGTCACAAAAAACAAAATATGTTATTTTAGTCACAAAAAATAAAATATCACATCTAATCCATAATTATTACATTCTTCTCTTACAAAAAAAATTAAAAAAATCCTTCATAAACTAAACTTTTTAACCCAAACTAAAATATCTAAAAAAATCAAAAAACTAAAAAGCTAATTCACTGCCCAAACCAACCCTGTGTGTCTGTGGGGATTGGAAAGTCATTGGCATTGAAGGGTCGAACATCAATGTTTGGTAAAAGACAAGTCAACAATATGCTTCAAAGCACAAAGCGAAATTAGTTCCTTCCACTTGCCCTCACCCACCTATTTTTCATCTGTCATTCACAACAAGATTTTGGCACATGAAGCTGTACCTATGCTTTGGTATAATTTAGTTATGACTCATGTACGGGGAGGAAATAATTCTCCTCGTATAATCCTGTTGACCAAGTCCACGCTCCTCCGTACGACGTCGCTTTGTTACCTGAAAACACAAACGTGAGCTAGCCGGCGGGTGTGTGCCGGAAACCTCTCCGATGCCTAAGTCAGAAAACTTGACAAATAGACAAAGCTCTAAGTTCTCAGAAAGATTGTGTTCAATTACCTCCTCCAAGGTGTTGCTTGTGAGCTTTTATAAGTTTCGTATGGCACAATCCTAGTAGGATTTGTACTTCTCCATGCAGAGTCCTCCTAGGATTCATTCTCCTAAGGATAATGCTTATCCTTTTGCACCCTCCCCCACTGCTTAAACCAAGTGGGATGGTTTTTTATATGACCGAACTTCCACATGACCGAGGTAAAATTGGCTATACATGATGAGAAAGTGTGTGTGCGCACCGTTTGGGAAGAGCTAAACTAGGCTATTTTGGCTATTTTAGTCACAAAAAACAAAATATGTTATTTTAGTCACAAAAAATAAAATATCACATCTAATCCATAATTATTACATTCTTCTCTTACAAAAAAAATTAAAAAAATCCTTCATAAACTAAACTTTTTAACCCAAACTAAAATATCTAAAAAAATCAAAAAACTAAAAAGCTAATTCACTGCCCAAACCAACCCTGTGTGTCTGTGGGGATTGGAAAGTCATTGGCATTGAAGGGTCGAACATCAATGTTTGGTAAAAGACAAGTCAACAATATGCTTCAAAGCACAAAGCGAAATTAGTTCCTTCCACTTGCCCTCATCCACCTATTTTTCATCTGTCATTCACAACAAGATTTTGGCACATGAAGCTGTACCTATGCTTTGGTATAATTTAGTTATGACTCATTATATCTTTTAATTATGATAAAAAAAATTTAATTATGATATTTGTGATAATAATAACACAAACACCTTACATATAATATGCATCTCAAATATTTGTATTGTGTATTTGGGATTGATTATTTTTTATGTTTTTTTTAATCTTTAATATATTTTTTTTCAAATTAAAAAAAATACGCTTTTAAGTTTTACTCTATTAGACAAATAGAAAAAAAATTAAGAATTTTGAGAAATAGTCCAAAAGGACCAAAAAAACCCAAAAAAGATGGTCTCTTGGCTTTATTATTATTATTATTATTATTATCTTTAGTGCACTTTTTTCAATTTTTTTCTTTTAATTTTTTTATTGTTTTACATTAGATGGACTTAAAAAGTAAATTTTTTAACACAAATTTAAAATAAAATTACTAAAGATAAATTTCTTTTTAAAAAAACACTGGATTTTTTAAATGAATGCCAAACAAAGCAT